GTTGGGGCGGGGCTGATTGGTTGAGCAGGACTGTCAGTCACATTGGGCTCAGGTGACTGGGCGTTCCCACCGCGCCTCACACTGGGAAATCCCTCCGGTGGCGCCCCTCCCCCTCGGCATCCTGTCCTCACCGCCCCCTTCCCCCGCAGTGCGGTTCTGCAGAGTATATGGCCCCTGAGGTGGTGGAGGCCTTCAGCGAGGAGGCCAGCATCTACGACAAGCGCTGCGACCTCTGGAGCCTGGGTGTCATACTCTACATCCTGCTGAGTGGCTATCCACCCTTCGTGGGCCACTGCGGCAGCGATTGCGGCTGGGACCGTGGTGAGGCCTGCCCCGCCTGCCAGGTGTGCAAGGGACCTTCTGTGTGCCCACACCCCCTGCCCTGTGCAATCCTTAGGGCCTGGTCCCTGAACATTGACCACATCCACAGAGTAATGCTGGCCTGCTTAATCATCTGAGTTTCTCAAGGTTCTTTACAGCAGAAAGCAATTCAGTCAGGGAGCTGAGGTGGGAATGAGACCTATAGTTTGGGATGACCAGGTTCCTGTTTTCTATACAGGAATTGAGGCTTAGGATTCATGTCTTAGAGCCCTCAGGAGGTCAGCTTTCCTTCCTGACCAGCTACTCCCAGACCTTTGTTCCTCACTTTCCTTGTGACTCTTCAGCGTCCCCCATCCTGCCAGCTAATCCCAGGGCCCTAGGCCCAAGTTCCACCTCACTGGGTATCCAGTCTGGGGTTCTTGCACCTGGTTTCTGGGCCATAGGTCAGGCCTGGGAGCCCTGAGAGGTTCTACCACTTAGCAGTTTCACCGCTCCCTTGGGGTCTAGTCTTGCCCATCAGATGTCAGGGCCTGGGCCTCAGCCCTTTCAGCTGCAGATGACCCCACCCACACTTGTTCCCCTAGAACATGCTGTTCGAGAGCATTCAAGAGGGCAAGTATGAGTTTCCTGAGAAGGACTGGGCCCACATCTCCTTCGCTGCCAAAGATCTCATTTCAAAGCTGCTGGTTCGCGATGCCAAGCAGAGGCTGAGTGCTGCACAGGTCCTGCAGCATCCCTGGGTGCAGGGGGTGAGTGCCAGTCCCACTGGGGGCATCAGGGCATGGGGGCCTTCCCTCCATCCAGCCTCCAATGGGCTGGGATTGTGACTCAGAACAAGTGCAAGAGAACTCTTAGGGCCCAGTGTCAGGACCCCTTGTTGTGGCATGGGTCTGGGGGTCAGTCACAGTCATCCTCTTACGGCCCAGGCACAGTTATGAAATCTCCCCCACCTGCTGGTTGCAGGAGCTACTTAGCAAATCTCTGGCCTGTGCCCTGGAGGCCCTGGGGTCTCTTCCCGCCTGGCACAGAGCAGCAAGTTCAGGTCAGCCAGGGGGCAGACAGGTGGGTGCCCAGCCTCATGCAGGGTCCTGTCTCCTCTGTTACCAGAAGAGTCTAGCTTTTGTCCTTGCCTGTGGTCATCCAATCTGGGGCCACCAGGACAGGGGGCCCCATGGGGAGCAAGGGCTGCCTGCTTAAGGCAACCCAGTGGAGGGGGCTCTGAACTCCTGCTGGGAGTATAAGGAGACCCATGGATTGAGAAGGGAGAGGGGCTAGGCTGGGAATGGTTAGGCAGGGTGGCTGGTGAGCAGGTAGGACTGGGGAACCACTGGTCCCCACCACCACAGGCATCTGGACTGCAACATCCTGTTTGCCCCAGCTTGCCTCAGCTTCCAAGCAGGTGTACCCCTTAACCTTTATTGGTATCACAGCCAGCTGGGTACCTGGGAGGGTTTGCCCTGGGGAGGATGGGCCTGGCTCTGTTCTCTAGCCTCATCTCTCCGGTCTCCTTGCAGTGCGCCCCAGAGAACACCCTGCCCACGCCCATGGTCCTGCAGAGGTAAGGCCTGCATTGGGTCTCCAGCCCAGAGAGGGGAGCCCCTAGTGCAGGAGGGAAGATTAAAAGTTAAGGTGTTTAAAAAAGGCAAAATAAATTCTCTTTAAGTTGTAGGGGAAGCCATTCAGGTCCTGGGTGTCCTTATATGGGTGATGGGATAGGCCCCCCCCAGGCTGAGGATGGGGTGCTTGGGTCCATAGCCCCTTCTGAGGGCACTGCACAGACCCTGGGGTCCCAAGGGAAGCAGAGGGCACACCTGGCAGCCACCTCCCCCTCCTTGGTGACTGCCCCATCCTGTCCCTAGGAACAGCTGTGCCAAAGACCTCACGTCCTTCGCAGCCGAGGCCATCGCCATGAACCGGCAGCTGGCCCAGCGCGAGGAGGACGCGTTGGAGGAGGTGGGGCAGGGCCAGCCCGTGGTCATCCGAGCTACCTCACGCTGCCTGCATCTGTCTCCACCATCCCAATCCAAGCTGGCCCAGCGGCGGCAGCGAGCCAGCCTGTCCGCAGCCCCTGTGGTCCTGGTAGGGGACCACGCATGACCCCTCCCTCCTTCTGTACATAGGTCACCCCCTCCCCAATCAGATCTCAAGATTTTTTTAAGCTATTGCCAGCCAGTGACCAGCAGGCTGTGCTACCCCACCCCCACCCCCTTGGGTTCCGAGGCACTCAGCTCAGCTGAGGGGATCTTTTTATATAAAGTTTTTGCTGTTTGCGTTTTTCCTTTTTTTTCTGTCCCCCACCCCCATTTTTTTTTCCCTTTGAATGGTGTTAAAAGTAAACAGGCACCCTGGGAGAAGAGCAGAGGGCACATGTGCTGCACATGCCGCTCCCCCGCCACCCTGGCCCCACATGCTCACATGTACTGTGAAAGACCCTGTGCCCATGGCCCCTGCCCAGTGTGACTCAGGAGAGGAGGACGTTTGCCGTCTTCCAGAGCTGGGGGGCCCTGGAACACACTTGTGCCCCCTCCCCCTTCCCAGCCCTCACAGTGTTCTCAAGGCTGGACTGACCTTGCACCTCCTTTCGTCCCCAAAGGCACCCTGGTGGCCAGTGGTGTCCTGGGTGTGGGCAGCTGGAGTGAATAGCCAACCACATGGACACCACCCCCCACCCCACCCCTCACTGACAACCTTGACCTTAAATTGCAGCTGATGGGGAGAGGCTGCACCCATTGCCACTACCCCACACCCTTTCCACTGGGGGCTACCCAGAGCAAGGGCACTGGAGGGATGGGAGGGGCTGGACTGGCACTCGTCAGCCAACATGGGGGACCTGCAGACCCCCCACCCCGGGCACCTGAGTGCCCATTCTCAGGGCTCAGTCTGACCATGGCCACGTCCTTCCCCATCCACCCTTGGGTTGACATGGAAGCTCTGCCAGCCCTGTCTCCCCCCCCTCCCCCCGAGCCAGGGCTAACCCAGGTTCCCAATGAGTTCCCCCTCCCACCCCCAAAAGGCAGCATTCCTTCTGTGCCCACCTTTAGGAAAATGTCCTCCCTCAGGTACCCAGGAACCAACCTGCCCCCACCCTAGTGTCCAGGTCAGATGTCACATGACCTGCTAAGCTCGAGGAAACTCTGGCACCCCTCTTTGTCCTTGGGTGGGAAACACTATGCAATACAAGCATTCTCTTTATGCACATGTGTTTCTGCCAGTGGGGTGGCCCCCAAGCCCTCACCAGGGCAGCTCAGCCTGGGTTCTGGCTGGGTCTTTCAGGCAGGCCCACTGGATAGCCCTCTGGCATTTAGTTTTTCATCTTGTTTCATTAGTTTTTAAGAACATCAGTTGACTTCCTTTTACTATTCTTGAAGAATACTTGAATGTCAGGGGGCCTTGTGGGTTGGGGGGCTCAGACACTGCTGCCCCCCAAGTCTTGTACTATTGTTGCAGTCTGGGGGCCGATGCCTGTCTGGCCGCCTGAGTCTGTGGAGTGGCCTTTCCAAAGACCCTGGGGTGTGCAGCCACCCCCACGTCCATCATTTCTTGCCCATCAGTAATTCCATGTATCAACTGGGGGTTCTACTTTTGTAAGGGAAATGGGGCCTCGCCAGCTATAGGCACTATGGTCACTTCGGTCTGGAAAGCTGAGCTATGAACAGCGTTTTTTTCTCAAAGGTGGGACAGCTACTTACTCTTCCCCCATCACATCTACAATGCAACCCGGAGGGCTGGCCGGAACTGTTAACTGTGAATNCTGGCTGGAACTGTTAACTGTGAATGAGCGCCTGGCTCCCAGGGTGTTCCAGGCTGCTAGGCTGCTCTGGTGCTGGGGAAAGGGGAAATGGCAGTGTTTCCATGTTAAGATGTATAACAGAAAACAATTCATTTTTTTTTTAAAGTGGGGGAAAAGAGATCCAGACATCCAAGCACTTTAACTCCACTGTACCAGGTAAACTGATACAGCTCAAAAGTTTTCCTTGACACCAACTGTCAATGCCGGAATTTTGTATTCTGTTTTATAAGGATTTAATAAAACTCATAAAAACTTGTTCTGGTTTTCTGTTGCTGCATTAACAAGCTTCCCCAAACCTAGTGACCCCAAACCATTCATTGACAGTGACGCTGTGACTTAGGAATTTGGACAGGGCATGTGGGGTGGTCTTTGTAGGATCTGTGAGGGTTGGGGTCAGGCATTCCTCAGGTGGTCTATCCAGTGCTGGTCCCTGGAGCCTTCTGTGATGGGCTTCTCTCACCGAGCATCATGTCAAAGTTCATCCAGTTAGTAGTTTGATACTTTTCATGACTGAGTAATATTCCAGTGTTTTAATGGACCATATTGTGTATTCATCTGTCCATATTACCACTTTTGGCTGCTGTGGACATATGTGCACAGGTTTTGTGTGGATGTTTGTTTTCATTTCTCCTGGTTGGATACCACAGAAGGGAAGTGGGCAGGGCAGGGACCTGATCAGATGTCACTTTTGGAAGGACCATTCTTGCCCCATGTGGAGTGTAGATGGGGCGTGAAGGACCTGATGAATCATTGTCATCCTCCAAGCCAGAGGGGGATGACAGGCCTGGTGGGGATGGTGACCGGTAGACTACAAAACGGCAAACACCAGGCATAGTGAGGAGGTGAGCTGTCAGCACCTGGGGAAGCCTGGACCCTGGGTGGGGGTGAGAGGAAGGCTCTCCAGGCTGTCTGGAGAGAAGGCACACCTGGCAAGGCATAGGCACTAGGGTTCCCTGTCATGGTGAGGTACAGCAGGTCACCCCTCTCCTGCCTAGAAACCTGAGATCAGCAGGTGGCACACACACCTCCCACCTGGCCCAGGAGGAAACCTAGGCACCTTTGAACCTGCCCCCTGCATTTGTTCAGCTGCTTCCTAGACCCTTCCTCTCAGACCCCACAGCTACCCTCCCCTGGGCCAGGCCACCACCAGTGCCCTCCAGGACCACTGCCCCAACCTGGTCTCCTGGAGCCCACCAACCCCCATGGACCACATCTCAATTCCCCCAGGCCCCTCTCTTATCCCTTGCCCAGCCTGGCATACGTGTGTGGGCAGGGAGGGATAGATGCTACATGCCAAGCCACCACTCTCCCAAGTGGCACAGAGCCCAGCCCTGCCCCACCATGCCATGCCATGCCAATGACCGCTCCCTGCCCCCTGTCTCCTGCCAAGTCCTGCAGCCAGGCACAGCTTGTTCTCTGAGCCTCTGCTGTGGATTTTATGTTGGTGGTTTCCTCTGGGCAGATCCCACCCTTCCACATCTTTCTCCTCTAGGAGCAGCAGGAAAATCCTGGAGCTGGAGCCGCTAGGAGCCTTTCCCAGGCTGGTGACTGTGGTTGCCTTGGCTGCATTGGGCTCAGTCTCCACCTGGGGAAGTTGAATCACCCGCTTGGGCTCCCAAGCTGACAAAGGCACTGGCCTCACATGTCCCAGTACAGGGCTGCCAAAATCACATCTGTGACTTGGGGAGCTGCTCCATACTCCCCTTGACAAGACAGTGGCAATGCTGATGTTCGATGCTAATAATAGGAGAAACAGGCAGGGCTATGGAAACTATTTGTATTAATGGCACAGTTCTGTAAACCTAAATTTTTAAAAAAATTCTTACCCAAGAATATGTGTTTTGTTTCATTTTATTTTATTGATTTTAGAGAGAGGGAAGGAAAGAGAAAAGGAGGGAGAGAGAGAGATGAGAGAGAAACATCCACTGGTTTCCTCCCATGCACACTCCGACGGGGATATAATCCACAACCTGGGTATGTGACCTGACCTGGAATTGAACCCGCCACCTTTTGGTGTACAGACGATGCTTCAACCAAATGAGCCGCACAGGCCAGCACTAAACCTAAAAGGTTTTTTTAATATTTTTTATTTTTTAAAAATGAAGTGAGAGAAACCAGACATGAAAGGCCACACAGTGTGTGATCCCATTTGTGGGAAATGTCCAGAACAGTCACATCCAATGGGACAGCAAGTGGGTTCATGGTTTTCAGGCGCTGGGGAGGGCAAGGGGAGTGACTGCTGATGGGGATGAGGCTTCTTTTGGGGGTGATGGAATGTTCTAAAATTAGATTGAGGTAGTGGTGATGGTTGCACAGCATGGTAAATGTACTAAATGACATTGAATTTAAGTACCAATCAGAAAGAATATATGCATGCCTATGTTCATAGCAGCATTATTTACAATAGCTGAGATCTAGAAATAGCCCAGGTGCCCATCAGTAGATGAATGGATAAAAAAGCTGTGATACCACATCCACAAGTGACACTCAAGGGGCGCCCTTGGTGAACACCAAAGCTCCACTGAAGTAAGTCCTGCTCCATAGGGGTGTCTCCAGCACAGAGGTCTTTGGCTGTAGCTGCAGCTGGTCCTCACAGCTGATTGGCCTGGGGGTCAATTCCTCCCAGTGACACTGACAGCAACCAAGGCTCAACTACAACAGGACAGTGCACACAGCCCACACAGGGGAGCACCTAAAGGCCCAGCTCAGGTGACTGGGGAGGCTGAGCCACTGGACACTACAGGGCACCTACTACACAAAGCCACTCTACAAATAACAGGAGACATAGCAGCTCTATCTAATACATAGAAACAAACACCTGGAAGCAGCCAAAATGTGGAGGTAAAGGAACATGTCACAAAGGACAGAACAGAAGAAATCTCCAGAAAAAGAACTAAATAGAACCAAGCAAGCTAACATACAGAGTTCAGAATTACAGTTATAAGGATACTCAAGGGTATTAATAAGACTATTAAGAAAACAAGTGAAACCATTGATGACCTAATAAAGTACCAATCAGAAATGAAGGCTACANNTAAGGAGCCTCTGGGACAACTTCAAGAGGCCCAACATTCATATTATTGGGGTGATAGAAGGGAAAGAAAGAGACCAAGAAATTAAAAACCTATTTGAAAAAATAATTACAGAAAACTTCCCTACCTGGGGAAAGGAATAGACTTACAAGTCCAGGAAGCACAGAGGGTCCCAAACAAGAGGAACCCAAAGAGGCCCACAGCAAGACATATCATAATTAAAATGCCAAAGGTTAAAGACAAAGAGAGAATCTTAAAAGCAGCAAGAGAAAAGCTAATGAACAAAAGGACCTGATGAACTAAATAGATCCAGAGACACTGACGCATGCAACAGATGATATTTCAGAGGAAAGAGGGAAGGGGGCTAGAGGGTGGGAATGGGATTAACCAAAGAAGCTATATGCATATATGCATAACCCATGGACACAGTCAATAACAGGGTGAAGGCCTGGGGAGGGGGTGGGAGTGCAGTGGAGGGGGTC